AATTCTCATCAACAATGGCATAAAGGAGTCCGAGTTCGCGAGGGCCATCATCAATATGCTTCGACAAGGCCGAACTCGTAATTGTAATATTGCGATCATGGGCGGCTCGGCATGTGGCAAAAGCTTCCTCTTGAAGAGCCTCGGACTGATTTACAAGCCTCTGGGCAGTCTGGGCAGTGGGAGTTACCCTTTAGCGATACTTGTGGAGGACCCAAGCTTTGAGATAATGTTGCTAGATGACTATCGGTTCGTTGAGCGCGTTGGTTGTAGTGTGGGCGATGTACTCTGTCTCTTTGAAGGAAAAATACCACTAACAGTAAGTGTGCCTAAGTCCCTCTCCAAATGCGACATGCAGTTCGTGAAAGACATTCCTCTGGCTATCACCAGACCTAGTCGTTTCGTGTCGCCCACTCTGACCTATGATGACAATACTATGCTTAATGAGAGATTTCACTGGTTCCAATTAAGTCACACCATACCACCAGCAGAGCGTAGAGACCTCCCTGGCTGCGCACGCTGCTTCGCCCGATTTTTGCTGTCGTATATGTCGTGAATCCCTACTCTCATTTTCAGTCAACATCCCAGTCGTAGCATCTGAGTATTTTTTATGACAGTATAGATGTTGTTGAGTTGAAGCAATTGCGTTTGACTCATCTCAACATAGCAGTGGTGTTCATTTCTAGCACCCCCCCTCAATGTCCATATCGCACAATACCTGTCGTCGCTGCGCCACAAATCGCACTACAGTCAAACGCAAAAGTATGTACAGAGAGAGACAACAGTGTGTGATTAGTCTCTGGTATGCTCCCCCTCTCCCCCTCCACAATGTTGCTTACAATCATCTATGATGTCATTCGTGACGACCCCAACCAACATTGTATGGGGTGAAGAGGGGCGCGCGACTGAGTCAACTAATTTTAATTTTGACTGGCTTATTCTACCGCTGAATGGTTCAGAACCATTTCTAGAATGGTTCAGTCACTAAATTTTAGCGCCTATCGGCTTCGTCCCGTGCCTGCAGTCTCTCATCTTCTGCATTGATAGCTTCTAGATCACAAGCAGCATGGCTCATATCACTGATGACGACAGCACCACCGACAGTGGCTAACGTTGAGCAAGCAGCCGCGCATATCGCTTCATTTCGACAAGTGGGTGTTCACCGTCGAAGTCGCGTGTCCCTCTGATTTGAGTCAATGAAATTCATCATGAATATCGCGGTATTCAAGCTACTAATAAAGTTAATGAGAGGAGCACTTACATTATGTAACAAGTAAGCGTTCGAGTGTATAAGTCACACACCCCGGTGGTCGCTGCATTAGGCTTAGACCAACTTCCCGTGATGTCGGCAGTGATGTCTTATCCTCGTCACCTTACTATCTAAAGCTCATTGCGAACACTCAGAAGGCGATCAGATCTGGGAATCCGCGATTCACCGAGAGCGTATCGTGGCCAACCGAACACGCAACGGCGTCTGGCGAACAGTGAGCCTTCGGGCCAGCTAGCACACACTTCTGCTTGCTCAACTGGGAGAGGACTTGAAGATGTGGATGGTGACAGTCATGAATAGTATTCACGACTGTCACCATTCACATCTCCATCCATATTCATTGAATACTCCATCACTCACGTATAGAGCCTCATTTTGGTCCATTATCTCAGGAGTTGATAATGAGGAAAGGTGAATTGGGTGTTTTCTCTATTCGAGTTCGCTCAAAATCCCTCGCAGACAGTGGGACCGACTAATGCAACTAAACTCAAGTGCTGAGCCATCCGTTGCTGACACGCATTATCACAGTGAAGAACGGCAATGAGTATTATAATGATTACTATTAATAGCACTATGAAGGATTCTGTAACGACTTGAAGCAATTGTCAGTGATGAGGGTTCTACTACGTACACATAAATGACAAAAGAGGTTTAAACGCATGCCACCACAGACTCAGCAAGGAGCAAAGCATCCCGGCATATATAGCATCACCGTAGCGGCTCGTAATGATAAAAATGAACAAAAAATATTTATAGACTATAGACATTCTACTCATCCACACATCATCTCGCAACATCACTGCTTTCAATGATCGTTTTGTATTCCCACTAGCTATGCTACTTTTCTACAACAGAATGAGCCAGCGGGCCACAAGCAGATTGCCCAATGCCCGTATTATGAATGCCCTCGACTGCTCGAATATGATAATATTTTCTGGCTGTGCGCCGTGCGGGTAGAGTAACGCCTCAACCTTGACTGATTTGTCGGATTCCAAGCAAGAAATAGAAAATGTGTTTAATAGAACAAAAATGATGGAATGGTCCTGCTCGACAACAGGGAGGCAGAAGTGTGATTTCTGCTTACTGAGCAGAGCTGGATATCAACAATAGAAATACACAAACAATAAGTGCGCCCCGCTAGCTGTCGAGCAACTTCGCAATGGACTCGTCAATGGCCGCTGCAGCTTCTGCAGACGGATCTGTTACACTTGGCGGAGCTAGGCCAAGTCTTGGTGGCTTCGACGGAACGAACTCGGGAGATTCCCGCTGAAACAAAATGATCATCAAGGGTTACAGTTTCACACTACTAGGCGGAGGCATAAACCCTAGCACTAGCATGGATCGAATTAAGTAATGACGCTTCCAAGCAAGGCTGCCCACAAACCGGCCCACATTGAATTTATGAGCCGCTTGATTCGGTCCACTGCGGTCTGCCGTCAGACTCTTGTTGATACCCGCAATGTGAGCATCTAACACTTGCTCGTCAATCTCAACTTTCGCTCCACCTGACTCGCCTAAACTCACAAGCAAACGAGTGAGCATGCTTACCGGTTGGATTTTTCCTGGAAGGAGAAAGATGCTCAAAGCCGGGAGGCGGAGCGATGTCAGCCACAGGTGAACCTAAGCTCGATACAGTAGAGTAGGTGCATCCCAAAGCCAATGCATCAGGAACGGTATCGACTGACGTCCGTTGGTACTGACCAAAGGCTTACCCGGAGACGGCATGAAGGCCGATCGATTCTTCGGAGAACCACGCCATGGAGTGCCCAGCTTGAGAGTCCTAGTGTCATTTAAACCTGGCCAAAAACATGTGGTACACCTTACTTCGAGGACCCCAGGGAGATCGTACTTGCGTCACCTAGCCCAGATGGTGGGTGAGGCGACTCAAGCAGGGCCCTTGCTGCAGGTGTATTCAGCGGAGGGCCGAATGGTAAAGGTAGAAGACCATCTCCTTGCGTTGAGGACGCGGACGCGAACAAGGCCTACGAGGATGCCTAGCAGTAGTCCAACAAGGCTTGCAATAACGTACGCTGCTGCCACTGCTTTGGCCGAACGAGCGTGTCATATAAGTACTCGAGCCTCCCGATCCAGAGTATCTGTGCCACGGGCCCATCCACTGACGATGTTTCCTTATTCCCGCTCACCTTGACTTGATACTTTTTGGAGAGTAATCATCGAGATCCATGGAGAAAGATATGTCACTTGCTGTTCTGTTGGCTCTCTTACTACTCGATCGACCAGAAGACACTCGGAACTAAGCCGTAGATTCAGTGGAAGCGTGTTCCATTTGGGAAGCCTACTTTCGATAGATATACCGCACGTTTAGGTGATCTTGGAGCGGTATCGCCTAAATCAATAAGTTACTGCTTCTAGGCACAGGAAGCCCCGACTTTGTAAAGTATCGTTATTCAGGGAACTTGTCGGCGAGAGTTGAGTTGTGTGGACTAAGCCGGCTTTCTCTGCGATGGCGTGCGCGTACTTCCTCTGAGCAGCGTCCAGGTTAGAGGGTAGGAAAGCTTCCCTATCAGAGAGAACAGCGTTCAAGGAGATACGAGCTACACACTCAGAGGCGACGCCATTCATCACACTTCCTAGCAGAGTCACAAGATAAACGACATTAGCAAGATTCGAACCTGCGCAGACACCGCCCAATGAACCTC